GTGCTATTACTGATCTCCCCCTCAGGACATGCTGTACAGTCATAGCAGCAGATGGGTTTTCCTTTCTGCAACACTTTACGAGTTCCTGGAGGACAACTGTCCGTGCACACTGACACTGGCACCTGTCAAAGACATAAATGTTGGAGAATACATGTAAATATTTACTATGCAGCTGTAATCATTGTTTACTAAAGTTTGACTGCTTACTTTCGTGCTACCCTCCATCCAAGTAATGTTTTTGTCGATCTGGAATTCCTGGCCCACGGGCCGTGATGCATCGTACAGCCCTACAGCCACTATCTCAGTCGCACCGTTTTCACTTTTCTGCCAGTTAGCCAGTTCATAAATAGCCACAGGATCCCCATTAGCATCAAATGACACTTCATAGCCATTTCGGGAAAAATTTACTTTCTTCAGCTCAATTAAAATCTGAAAAGATGAAATTATGTATAATGGGAGGGGAAAGGGAAAAAAATAATTATGCAATATTTCAATAACAAATATTAATATTACATATCAACTCATATTGCAGTTGATGAAAGACACTGGCATCAACATATTTATTTCTTCTGACCTGTTTGGACTCTAACTTGGTTAACTTGTCACACTTTGCAGTGCCATTTATTTCCTGGCACACTGCATTATGGATGGCATGTGCTACTGCATACACGGCCTTGTACACCATGTTAGTAACTCTGAGCTGTGATTTGTCAGTGGACTGGTTTTGCAGATTCTGTATGTCTTCATTTCCATCACATACTTTCTTCTTTGCAGTGGCATCTAAAAATTACAAAAAGGGCAAACAATCACACGAGTGCTTCTGATTGGTTGAGGAAGAATAAAGTAGTTTATCATGGCCCTTTCTCAATTCTCAAGTACACGAGTCTGTACTCATGTTCTCTGCGAGTCCGGACTTGCCAAGAACACGAGAATGCAAGCACGGACTCGCGATTTGTACAGTTGGAACACCACACTTGATGATATCACGGGTCCGGAGTTTTTACTGCCGTCCCCTCTTAATTTAACTGTGATTAACCCTCTGGGGTCGATGAACGCGCCGGTGCGTCAAAATCACATGACCAATTTAAGACGACACAGCAACAAGATGCAGCGACCCAGAGTCTCCATTTCAATGTGGGTCTAAAGTGCGGACTTCAAACTATATACCAGTTTTTAAATGGCCACGTAAAACCAGAGTTGTGATAACAAATACACACTATTGTTTTTTCTAAACAAAACAGTGGTGTTTACAGCTGGAAGAAACAGTAAAAACTGTTTTCTACAGACAGCGCCTGCAATCACTCCCCGCTTGCAAGTGAAAAAAGAAACAACACCCATTTCCTATTGGTGTTAAATTGTGCCATATCAACCAATCAAAAGATGATATGGCAACATGCGGTATTTTGTTGTGTATGAAGAGGGGGAAGTTTTAGGAGTGACACTGGTGACAGAAAGCGGGCGAGCAAAGAGAGAGCGTGTTTTCATATGTGAGACATTAGTGACGTTGAGTGTGTTTGGAGGCTATATTTAGTGTGTAGTGTAGTCACTGTTTTGTGTGTTAGTTATACTAGTCAATGTCACATTTGCTCCAGAAAAAGCCACCAAAGGCAGATTCCAGTGTAAACGCTATCCCCACATGGAAAACAGGACTGGTAGAACTACTGTTGTCAGAACTGCAGGGTTTAGGCCTGTGGTGTTCTCCTATAATAATAATAATAATAATGGATTGGATTTATATAGCGCTTTTCAAGGCACCCAAAGCGCTTTACAATGCCACTATTCATTCACTCTCGCATTC